CAGCTGCCCCTCAGCAGCCGGAGATGAGCGGTGGGACCCCCCGATGCACCGGTGGCAAGACAGCCCCAGACCACGCTCACCTCTCGGCCTCGCTGAGCCGCTCCAGGCTGTGGAACCAGTCCACAAACTGGTCCTCCTGCGTGAAGCTGTAGTTGTTGCAGGCTGACTGAAGGAGCTTGATCTGGGCGATGACTTCGAACTCCTGCACCAAATGGAGGCTGTGAGACCAGATCCGTTTGCCAGCCTCAGCCTCCTCCACAATCAGCCCAGCTCCACACACAGAGACCAGAATTCCCCCCCGCCCCCCCCCAAAAAAATGAAGAACATGACAGCAAAAAAAAGGAGAGGGATCAACCCCAAAGCGAGTGGCACAGACTGGGCTTACACCAAGTCAGCCTCCTCCACCCACCCTCTGCCAGGGCAAAGCTCTCACCTTCCTTCTCTTCTCAAAGTTTATCAGCCCGCCCTAGAAAAGAAGGAGCCGAATGTCAGTGTGGAGCAGGTAGAAAAATATTGCTCCCACCCCTCCCTGCCCCCTGGCTCGCTGCCACTGCAGTGCGGGTGTCCCCGCCGAGGGGCAGTGCGAGAGCATCCCATTTCCATGGGCTGACAGAGGCGGATGTGCAGGACGCGCAGGGTGCGGTGCTGGATATAGGATGCGCAGGGTGCAGTGTCGGGCACAGGACACACGGGGGACCAGCACTCCATTTATCAGCTCCGGGGCGGCTGTGCAGAGGAAGGAGAAGCAGCAGAGGATTGAGATGGAGGTACATACGTCCAGAAAATCCTTCATGGCGGTGTCAAGCATCACCAGGTCCGTGAGGAAGGTGCCAAGGTAGGGAATGGTGCCCTGCATCACGCCCTGTGGGGAGAGCAAGGGACAGCCAGCGTCAGCAGAGAGCGGGACCAGCCCGGGCAGCCGCTGGGCAGGGGGCATGGGGGTGGCTGGGCCAGACTCACCATCTCTCGCTGCTGTTGCTGCCGCTTCTGAGCCCTCTTTGGGTTGATCTCCAAGGTGGCGAATTTGGACGTGCCCTCCTGGATGGTGGGAAGAGGTGGGGATCAGCGCGGGTGGGAAACCGCACTAATAGACGAGCTAAAATTCACCCCTGCTTTTATTGGTGCAACTTTCCTTGCTGAGGGAAGAGGGAGGAGGGGAAGAGCAGGAAATCAAAGCTGAGCTTTTTCATGGCTCAAAGGGAGGAGAGGCTTAGTGAATAGGAGCTGCTGCTCCCATTTCCAGCTCTGTATAAATAGCTCCTTAATGGAATGTTTTGTTCCCTTTTGCATTTTGTGTCCTCTCAGCCCCCAAACCGGAGCTAGGCTGGGAAGCTGCAGAGGCTCCATGGGGAAGAAGGACACCTTTTGAGGCAGCCTTTCACGAATGCTCCAACCCCACCTGAAACCAAGAGGACTTTGCACCGGGCTGTTAAAATGCAGCTGCCTCTGGGGAGAAGCCGTCACCTGGTGCACTGGATCCTATCCCACCGCTTATCTCTGCTTGCTGAATGGCTCTTCGAGCCTCAGGCAATGACGACTTTTGGGCGGAGAAGCAGAAAGCCCCGTCTGGTCGGAAACCCCTGCCTGCTTCCCAGACTCAGCACGCCCTGTCTGCACCCACGCCTGCAACCCCGGCAGCGCTGCCAGGGCTTCAGCCTAGTACCAGGCTGGAACACTGTGGAAACTTCTGCCAGCATCAGCCCAAGCTCCCTGCCCCAGACAGGGTGCTGTGGGTGCCGCTTCCCCATACCTTAATGAGAAGCTCCCGGCTCAGCGAATGGTTGTTCTCATCCGAGAAGATCTCTGAGAGCTCGTGGAAAGTGCGGAAGCTCTCCCTGCTCAGGGAGAAACACAGCAGGGAGTCAGTAACGGCGCTACCCTGGGGTCTCCTCCTTGAGCTCTCTTCTGCTCACTCAAAGGACCTCCGCCATGCTCACAGCTCTAGCAGGGCCTTGCTGTTTGGGGGTATTCCAGGGTGTTTCGCATGGAAAGGAGAAGGAGGTGATGGTGCTTTTACCTCCTCACCCTCCTTAGGTCCCTGACACCTTACGCTGGTCCCTGGATTTTGGGCACACTCCGAGAGGCAATACTGGAGCTGAGTTGATCCCATCTATACATTCAAGGGCCACAGCACAACCTCCGTCTTGAAACCTGCCCAGGAGCCCAGAAGACACTGCTTACCGTAGGACCTCATCCCAAGTCTTCTTCAGCCGGTGAACGGCGTTGCACTGCAGAGCCGAGAGGATGGCTCGGAGGGAAGAGAAGTTCTTCAGGATGCGGCACTCCTGGGGGCAGACAAGGAGATGACAGGACTTGGTGTTAAAGAAAGCCCAGGGATCTGCTGAGATTCGCACACCGCAAAACCTCAGCCCTGGGCCGAGACAGGAGGCGAGCAGGACGGCCGGCTGTCCTACCCGAGCCACTTCGATCCACCGCTCCACCACTTTAGCCCTCTGCTGCGGCTTCAGGGACCGGTCCCCAAGACACGTGGCGATGACACAGTTGGCCACGCTATTGAACTGCGAGACCGTGGCACGGATGGTGGGCGCCAGGTGCTCTTTGCCCTTCTTGTCTCGCTGGGACCAGATACAGCCCAGGCAGTGGTAAGGCACCACTTTCTTAAACAGCTCCTGGAAGATAAAAGAGATGGAGACGGGTCTCTTTGGAGTCCCTTTGGGAAAGGAACGGGCCAAGAGGAAAAGATGGAAGGGAAGAGACAGCCCTGTGCCCAGAGCAGCAGGTAGCAGGTGGGCACAGCACCATCGACCCGGCTGTCAAATGAATACTCACTGCATCCATCAGCGTAAACTGTTCTGCCACCATCTCTGGGGAGAAGGAGAGGAAATCCGGCTTCCCATCCCCGTCTCCGTTCTCCTCCACCAGCTGGAAGGTGCAGCTGCCATGGTCCACAGCTGTGAGAGACGGCACAAAGCTGAGCACCGCAGCGCTGCCACATGCCGGGGCCCACGCCAGCCCCCTGCGGGCACCCACATCCCACCTCCCAGGCTCTTAATTCTGGCTTCGCACCTCGAGAAACGAGGCTCAGATAAAAGGATAGTCATTTTAAACCTGGATGCAAGTGTCTGCAGAGGATTAAAGGCAGATTAGCTAATCCTACTTAGAAATCCCACTTCTAGTTCAGTTGGATTAGCTTCCCGGTGTACCTCCACGTAAATGCAGGCAGAGTTCAGCCATGTGGCAAGACTCGAGGTTTTGGAGACCCTCGGTGCCAACCAGTAGCACTCTCTCCACCTGCAGCCCCAAACGACCCCCTGCAAGCAGGGAAAAGACCCCACCTTCTGCTTCGGACTCGCTCTGCTCATGCTGCTGGAACTGGGCCAGCAGGATGCGGGCTCGGCGCTCCAGGTCAGAGCCGGGGATGTTGTGGCGCACGTAGGAGATGAGCTGCTTGAGGCAGGTGAAGTCTGGGGGCTTGCGGAAATCTTCTGAGTACTGGTCCAGCCAGGCGCCCAGGATGGAGGAGATGGTGCTGCAGGGAGAGGGGGAACACAGGCAAGCCTGCGTGAGAATTGGATGCCACGAGAAACCCATGAGCACCCCAAGACACCCCAGGCACCAGGAACAGCCTGGGACAAGAACTAAGAATCTATCAACCGGAGACACCCTTCTCTTCTTCACCCACCCACAGCACGGTCAGACTTACTTCTTCAGCTCCATCCTCTCGTCCACAGCGTGCCTGGCATGGTCCCCATTCGCCTGCACATGGAGTTTGCCGTACCTGGTGGGGCACAGCGAGGAAGCAGTGAGCACCCTGGACTCAGCTGTGTCTCAGCGCTGCCTCTTCTCCCTCCACATCACCCCCAGCTCTGCCAGGGGGTCAGGATGAACCTCCCACACACGGTCCTGCTCCCCCCACTCTGCCACAGCCCCCACGTTATGGGAAGAGGGAAGCAGCCAGCACTGGCCACCTCGCAGCAGCTTACCAGCTGGAAGGGCTCCAGCTCTCTGGGAAGTTGTGTCCTCCCTGCCCTGCCCCAAAACCTTCACATTGATGGAGAAGCCCATCAGCCCTCCAAAGCACAGCAGCAGAAGATGCTGGGGCTCTCCTGGCCGAGGGGGCTCAGCCACCCCCCGCTGTGTTCTGGGCCTCAGGGCAGCCTCACCTGTTAAGCAGCAGGTCCAGCACTTGCTTGGTGGTGGCAAAGGCCCGGTAAGTGCACAGGAAGATGGTGACATAGGTGGAGTCATTGCCCTTGAAGGCTGAGACCAGGTACTCCACCAGCTTCTCCAGGGTCCCAGCTTTTATCGTCCGCACCTTACATGTCTCGTAGAGGTTTAAGGCCGACTCATTCTCAAACTGCCAGGACAGGAGCAGAAGTCAGTGGGTTGGGTGAAGACAGACACGTTCAAGTGCCACGCGTTCCCACCAGCTTCACAAGGCACCCTTTTGGTCTAGGCTGGAACCACAGACCCTCCACAGTGCCTGCGGCTCTCATGACGGGCTTGGGGAAAGGGAAGCTGGGTCTCCTTGGACACCAAATACCAGCAACCCTGCTGAGAAGACTTGAGCATTTGGGAAATCCCACAAAAGGCCTCAAGGTTGCCAAAATCTAGATGCAAATCCCTATTTTGCAAAATCGGGCTTCAGATTGTTTCTCCCATGCCCTTTCCCATGGGGCAGAGGCCAGCAGAGGTTCCCACGCCCTTTCTCCCAAATAAATGTGATTCCCAGATAGGGCTTGGAAGGACCCCCCAGGACAGGAGTGTATGGGGGAGCAAGAAGAGGGCAAAACACGGGCTGGTATTGACCCTGCCAAGCCTTGATAGCTGGTTACCGTGTCTCTGGCAGGGAAACACCTGCAAACACCCCGGGGCAGAAGGCTGGCAGAGCCCCCAGCTTACCCCCAGCCATCGCTGCCCTTTGTTGGCCGTGTGATGGAGCTGCACTTTCCGGAGCGATATGCTGTAGATCACACCATCCTCCAGCTCTTCTCCGATCTCCTGTGTGGAGCTCTGCACGGGAGGACAAGATGCACCATAAGATAAGGAGAGTAAAGCGTGGCAGAGGCTCTTGTGGGCTCGTACAAGGCATCCCGGCAAGCCAAAGGCAACAGCGGGCAGGCAGCGAGAGTCTCCCTCACCTGCCCAGAAATGCAAACCAGGAGACACCAGTCTTTCCAGCCAGCTTAACCCTGGGCCCACCTGAGCCTGCACACAGGCAGAGCCAGGGCTTCGGGACACTGCTCTCTGTCTGCTCCACGTCTCAGCCCTTCTGCAAACCCAGGCTGTGCCAGCGCCGGGCAGAGCAGGGACCCCTCACCGGGCAGCGAGGGGGACGGGTGGCAGCACCCCCCGGCACCCAGCCCCGCCTGCTTCCCCCTTGCCGAGCCTTTGCTTTTCCCGTAAGGTGACATTGCCGCCAGGTCTGACTGTCATCTCAGTAATCTGCCCCTGCGGGATCTGAGCACCTCAGCGCGCCTTCGGTAATAAATAATAACGGTGAAACCAAGCTGCCCGCAAGCTTCGGCAGTGCTGGCCATGCACACGAGGCAGAAATCCAAGGGGGGAGCTCCAAGCTGGGGGAAAACCCCAGGAGCAGTGCCAGGGAGGGCTTGGGCACAGCCTGGACAGGTCCCTGCATCCCTGGGGACAGGCACCTCCGGGCCACAGAGCGACCCAGCTATAAGGTCACATTTCTGCTCTGGGGGATGGAGACCACCTAAAATTTGGTGAGGGAAGAGGGGATGCTTCTCGGGGTAGGTCCCCAGGCACACGCCTCCCCCAGCTCCACATGCCAGCGCGGGCTTGGCGGCTCCAGCCCCACAAGGACAATTTGGTTCCCTCCTCCTCCTCCTCCTCTCTCACCACGCTCTGCTGAGTCAGTGCCTCTCTTAAGAGGATTTATTCAGATCCTTTTAAACACCGCGGGGATCTCCCCCATCCTCCATCCCCCACGCCAAATGGCGGGACACGGTGTAACACGTGGCAAAACCCACTGCTCAGCAGATGGGGAAAATGCCCGAAAGCAATAAGCCAGTTAGCAGGGGGAGGTGACCACGAGCTGGGGTGCAGGGGTTTGGGGACAAGTCCCTCCTGCCTATCACACTGCCAGCCAGGGTCCAGAGCCAGCCCACGGCTTTCCCTGCAATCTGCCTCTCAGGAGCACAAAAAAACCCCCTGAGCAATGTCAACAATGCAGGGCTCGCCGGGGAAGAAGCTGCTGTAGGGAGACCCAGGATCCTGCTGCTCCCTGCAAAAAAATCCTCCTCCCAAACTGCTCCTCGTGAACGTGGCAAGAGCCATACCCAGGGCCCCGGCTTCAGGTAGTGCTGCACATCCCAAGAGAAACGGGGCAGAAAGCGCTGAACACGACCCTGAGCTGACGTATCGAAGTTGAACCTAACATGCTCTTTAACCACCTTCCTTTATCATCACCATCACAGCAGCGGTCACCGCGCTGTTATCATACCCTGCTCAAGTCAAGTGCTTGTTATTAGCAAGGAATTAAGGCAGGGAACCACAGCCAGCTCAAAGAGTAAAGAGAAAACTTTTAAAAAGCCTCTCGTTCATGGTTATAATGAACGAGGACAGAGAATCCCCCTGGGCAGGGTTACTGGACTTCTTCCTCACTTTCTGCTTAACCTGCTCTTCTCACTTCGTGCCAGACTATGGGGAGGTTTGGTTTGCTGAAGCTCGAGGGGTTGTGAGGCTCCTAACGCCAGCTGTGCTGTGAACATCAAAAGTCTTTCCTGGGATTCACTGGCTTCCAGACCAACCCCGACAGCACCCGCACAAGGCAGCGGACAGACAGACATCCTTCCAGACACCTGCGTCAGTCCCTCTCTTGTTCTACGCTCTGGGATAAATTATGGGATAAACTTCTGTTCAAGTATAAACAGGTCTGAATTTCAAGAACGGAAAAGGCACTCACCCACCAGCACGGCGTGCCTTGCACCTTCCTAGTCAGCATGACATGAAAATACACCTTCCTCCTGCCTCCATAAATCTCCTGGGCTGACAGTGTCGGCTGCTGGGGGTAGTGCAGATCTGAGCCCACCTTCTCCCCAGCTTAGCTGGCCCAGGCACAGGCAGACTGGCAGCCCTGAGCCCCCATGGTTGGCACCACACAGCCCAGACACTGACAGGGGCACGAACAAGCCCCTGAGCCCACCCCTACTCCCCGCTCCTCTGCAGCCCCACATCACATCCACGCTGGGAGCCCCGCCAGAGCGGCCACCCATGACATTGGCCACAGCACAGGGAAGACGAAGCCGTTTAAACACATCAGCAAGGAGAAGGCAAGCTTGGTACATAGCTAAAGGCACCACTGCTGAGAGAGCTGGGCTTCTCCCCCATCACCTCTCCCTCTCTCCACCAAAAGCTCAGAGGAACAAGGTGCTCCTACCCCAGGTGAGTCACCCCCGACCCCCCAAGCAAAGCCCCCTTAGCTGGGAATCGGGGGGACTGGCACAACCTCGGGAAAGAGCTGCTGGCGCTGCTAAAGCCTCGCGCCTGCTCTGGATCAGCCATCTACAGTGACGGTACTGAACTCGAGCTCAAGTCAGCCAAGTTGTCTTTCTTCCACCTACAGATGTTGTTTCCAACAAAAAGAAAGAAAAGCTGTGGGAGCTCTTCCTAGTTTGTCCACAGAGCCCATCAGACCCTGGTGCCCACAGCTACGGGCTGTCCTCCAGAAGCGACAGCAGTAGATGCCTCTTGAGCGCGCCAGCCCACTGCCCAAGGGGCAGCGATAGGGAAGGGGGATCACTACCAACAGTGCCTCACATCAGCTCTCCCAGGCTCTCTCTTTATCACCCAACTGCAGATCAGCCCTACCCTGCGTATCTTCCACTTACGCTGACTTTGGGCTGGAGAAAATCTCTGGGTCCAGCAGGACCAGACCCCTGTACAGTCTAACCCAGCAAATAGATTTGGCTGGGCAGTTATAAACCCCAGACACAAATATCAAGAAAAATCAGATGCTCGCTAAGATGCAATTAAATTAATAAAGAAATCAAATCACATGAGAGGACAAAATGTCCCAGGATCAATCCATGAATCATTGGCAGCTGCTGTGCAAACTACAGTGGAAAGTATTGCCATAACTGCGCAGGGGTTTTCACTCTATTTCATGTCACGTGCAGAGGATACACCCAGTTGTTGTGCGTAGAAGCAAATTTCATTTCCTTCCCATATTCAAAACTGTCATTCATTCATTTTTTGTCTTGCTGACTTGTGCGATATCCCCCAAAGTTCCCCCTTTGCAAACCACACACAAAGTACGCAGCTTCTCAGCAGTCTTCACCCAGGCTCATGCCAAGAGCCAGGCGAGCTGCTACACTGGTACATTCTAAAATTTGGCTATTTATATTCTGCGTGAGCTTCCTCTTTCCTACTGCTGCTTCTCCAAGATGCTGATTGTGCATTCCACACATGTTGGTTAAAAACCAACCAAGCGAAAAGCAGCAGCAGGACGGAGCCAGTGAAGTCCCGCTCCAACACCTGCACCAAACGCACGTTTCTCCCTTTGGAGATGAGCAGACACAGGGTGGGAGCAGGGCTGGGAGAGACACAAAACCTTGACCTGCAGCTTCTGTACGTGCCAGACACCAAGAATGCTGCAATCCTAAGTCTGACACTCACACCAGGGTTTCTAGCAAGTCAACCAAAGATGAACGTCTTCTGAAGAGCTCTGACAGACAAATGGTGGCAAATATCACCGCTCCCCGTTGCCTGCCCTACGCATCTGTGGGAGTTTTCTGCCCCCCATAGCACAAGGGAACGTGAGTTGGGCCTCAGCCAGCACAAGCGCAGCCCAGCACCCATGTGCAAACCCTCCTTCATCAGTGGTTCGACCTGAATAACGGAGCACCGCACCACGGCAGAGACACAGCTGAACAGTCCCTTCCGCTTACTGCATTGCCTTGGTAGAAGAGGTGCATCCAACAGGCCCAGACAGCGCTTTAAATGTCTGCAAGAAGGTTCAGCAAAGCTTTTCTGTGAAAGCGCTAACTCTGAGCATGGTGATGGTTACCGCGTTTGCACCTTCCACCAAACTCATAGAGGAGGGACTCAGCACCCCAGAAAGCGAGATCCAACACCTTTCCCGATGGGCACCAAAAAAAGGGGAGACGTAGAAAATGAACATTTGACCGTGATTTCTCCAGCTCAGCGTGCAATCCCGCTCCATGCAGCAGGAAAAAGGCCTCTCAATGGAGGGGCACGAGCAAAAACCACGTTTAACTTAGAAGTATCAGACACCCGGTTCTGCAGAGTGGGAGGCTTTTGCAAAAGCAGACGTAAGTGAACTCTGCAGGAGTTCATCCCCTGAAATATGAAACTGGAGGTCTGCACCAGATGGCTTGCCTGGTTTTAGAGACCGCCTCTTCCAACTGCAGATAGCCCAGGGCTGCGTGAGAGCTCCCCACCGACAGTTCAAAGCGTTGGTGACTACACCAGGGAGGAATTCCTGCTCCGTGCAATAAACTCTTCTACTCTCTGGTGAATGTTCTAGTACACAGCGTGGTGTCGAACTCCACGTCTTCACACGGAGATTAATAACGAGCTCTAATACGTAGCCAAGGTTCGCGAGCCTGGAGGAAGGGCTGCGGCGCGAGGGACCCTCGCAGGAGCCAGGCAGCAGGGAATCTGCCTTCCTTTCTTCTCGCCAGCTGAAAGGAGGGGAAAATGCAAAAGCCAAACAGCAAAGCAAAATATTGGCTAGGGATCTGCGTTGTAGAAAGCGTTTGAGATCAGTCACAAAGGTGGTTTTAGTAAGTCAGAAGCAAAGTACAGGATTAAGTGTGAGCATGACAGCATCCCTGCATGTTACACACAGACAATTATCCAACAATTACCAGGTCTTAAGAGCTCTGGTCCCACGTGCCCTGGGTTAGCGCATTGGCCTCCAAAGACACAAAATAATGAACTGTTATTGGAAAAAGGTATTAATTTCAGCACACGTGGAAGAGGCAAAACTGCTTAAAGTGCTTTTACTGACGCTCCCTGGACAACAGCTGGTTTAAAGATCAAGATATTTGTGTTACTCTGTTCCCTTTCAGCTGGGCTACACAAAATGCCTGTTCTACAGACATGGCAGAACACAACATGGGGAGTATCTTTGCACCATGGTTTCAAAGGGCCACTGCCACCAGCCACAAGAGAGAAGCAGACGCTAACCTTGCCCGTGGGAAGGCGGGAACATGCGCCTGTTGGGAATTAACACTCGCTGGCTAAAGAGACAAGAAAAGGCAGAGCTGAGCCTCAGAGACATCACCAGGAGTTTCTCATTGAAGCTCCGCGTTTGCACAAGTTCGAAAGGACTTGATGAAAGCTGCTAAAGCCAGAAACAGAAAGTGGGGGTTTGGTTTTTACAATCCCCAGTCCTTTCTCAGAACAACCCCTTCCCACCAGC